ACATAGTGATTGAGTAATCGAGTTTAAATTGAGCTCCTAGTACGGATACTAGATTTACAAGTCATTTGGATGCGTTCCTGGTAAGACCACCCATCATATTACGAGTAAAGTAGGGTCTATCAGAAGACTCCAGCAATGAACTAGTAGAGTTTTTGATTGCAAGGGACGTTAAAAGCCTTCGGCATAGAAACCGTTACCTCAACGCAATAATGTCGACAGTCTTTTCTTACGACTTTTTGCAGGAGTCACCTCTGTATGATTTGGCTCGAACAGTCTCGGCATAAAACTATAGCGTTCCTGAGCGAATATACTCAGATGCAGCGGCAGTCAGTGAGTTCAATAATGCTCTTGAAAGCCCTGCAGACCATTTGCAGCTGGCTGAAGCAGTAGCATTGTAAAATGAGACCCTAGTTTTCAAGAGTCTTGACCGTGACCTTGCGAAATCCAGGTGTCTTGTAGGAAGTAACCTGAGCTCGAAAAAGAGGCGAGCTTTCCGACGTGCGCGGACGGCTACCTAGTCTGCCCCGACGTATCATGAGGCCAGCTACTGGACCCAGAGTCATCTATGACGCAATCAACCTTACTGACTGTAAAGCTATTCTGTTAATATCAGGCTAGCCGGCTTAGACAGTTGCGTGGAAGAAAAGGTTGGCCTAACTGTCTTGCTAGACAAAAAGCAGCATTCCTCCATCGCTATGGTATCAAGGACAAAGACTGAGGAAGCCAATTGCTTATTTTATCAAGGGACTTCTGGAAGCGGACCAATCGTTTAAGTCGCCTGCAAAGATAAGCAGATAGCGACCGGAAAACATGGGGAAAACAAAGTTTTTGGCGTGCACTAAGATTCAAATAAGGTGGATAATCCATGCGTGAGGACGGACGAGACACGAACGCTCGTGAGACTACATTAAACTTCTTAACTTTTAGTTCGGACTGTTTTTCGCAGGAATACTGAGGAGATGTTGCACGATCTAGTAGCGAAGGAAAAATCACTGGACACTATGCATGTGGCTAAACAATGTAAGGTCGACAAAATCCAAAAACCAGAATTCATCAAAACAGATAGGTACTACACTGGCTAACTTACCTGAACAGTTTCGGTTTCCTCACTTGACTCTCTGGTGTCCGGTTTCCCATCTTCCGAAGAGGTAGCTCTGAAAACATCAAATGTGATTGTTCCGGTGAGGAATCGAACATGATGATATCAAAGGTTATTAATTAGAAATTAATAGGGGCCAGGAAAAAAAAAACAAAATCAGTACTAAAAGCACGTTTGCAGGGCTAATGCGCAAGACCTGTCGGTTACTGATAGAAGTTTTAATAGTTCTCTTCGCATAAACTTGGGAGCCGTAGGAAACAAACGCCTCAAAAGAAGACGTAAGTGCTGTTAGGACAATCGTAGGAAGATCCTACTCGCACGACAAAGGGAACGGTACAAAAACTGTATGCAGCCGTGCCCTGACTTTAACTCGCCCTACTTTGGTAACTTTGATGTCAGGTGGTATTCGTAGGCATCGAAACTTTGCTCGTGCTTTTAAAATCTGATGTTGCCTAATTTTTTCATCGCTAAATCTGGTATTTAAACAGGAGCAAAGGCAAAATCAGACAGAAAATAAAAACGCTACTTCCGCTGTGAAGGCAAGAAAAAAAGGGGCAACAGTTACTGCTGTCTTATTTGCTATCATCAGCAGGCATGGGACGACCAACTATGATTTTAATCTTGATACAGCCGATCATCCAGTGTTAGACTAAAATGCTTCTGCCTTTACTACTACTACTACTAGAAAAAGTTGTACTCCCTTAATTTGGAACTGAATGATTCAGTATTCCAATATGGGTTTCAATCTTCCCACCGTTGCAAACATAGGCCGGAGTCTAAGGCGGCTGCAGTATTCCTAGCCAGCATAGAATTGAACAAGAACGCGCTTGCCCACATTCTCGGAGTCCCGCCTGATTCTACGTTATCTATCAGCCAGGTAATTTTCCTCGATTGGACAGGGAACGAAAACTGCCGTAAATGTAGAGGTAGCATTGAAAGTGCGGAGGTAATGTATTCGAGTATTGTTGTACAAAACTAGCATATGGCTTTTTTTGCTACCCAAAAATCCAGTTGCATCTTGAAAGTAAACGGAAAACAGTGCCCCGGAATAAACATGCTGTACCTTAGTTTAATGTACTGGATACTCAGAGCCATTTTCAAGGAGTTGGTCATATTTTGTCCTACCTCATTTTATAAAGTTCGCTCTATAAACAAATACCTTGCGAGCACTGGATATTTTTAATTTAAAGCCTTTGAAAGACAGAAAACGTCCTGTTTTTCAGTGCAGAACCAAAGTGCAAAGTACTTGTTTACATAGCCTGTCGTAAGCGTGGCAAACAAACCAAGGAGTATCGGTGGAGGGCCCGATAAAGTATAGGAGAATCCGAGAGAGAGAACTCTGAAGTTGCCAATACAAGCGAACATGCGAGTCCCAGGAAGTAATTGAGAAGAAG